TGAAACCAATATGGAGGTGCATAATCTTTTATTTTTGTGATTTTCATATTTTAAACGTAAAATGATGAATTAATTTACATAAAATGTGACATAGGTTTTATAAGATTACTAAATATTGTAAATGTATTGTGATATATTGATACATACACATATTGGATTTTTATTCGAACTCTATATATTTTTGCATCCCGAACATCTACGTTTATATAGAATTGGTTTTTGCATCCGAACTCATATACAAAATTTGTCAACCAAACCACATCTAATACACTTATATCCAGATATTGCATCCTAACGTACAAAGAACATGCCTTAGTATAAAAGTAGCTACAAATGTAACACACTGGTCCATTGAGATTACAAAGCAAGAAACTGAGTTTTTTTACATTGGTTTCTGCAACTCCGTCTACATATGGACCTTTCAATATGTCAAACGACCTACGCATAAAGTAGAATAAGATCATTGTGACGAATGTGCTTCTGTAGCAAGCTGATGGAGATATATATATTTGATTCTCCAAACCCCTTATTCCCCAAATTCCGACTTGGTTCATCTTCAAATTTCCCGCATGTTTTGTTACATAATGGAGAATATATAAATCTATGGTCCCTCCCTAAGAAATTCCATTGCAAAAAGGAAAAAAAAAACATAACATGGAGAAGTATATATAAATATGCAGTTTGAGTTGTGACTAATGTCAGTGAGCAAGAGCATTGTATGTAGAGTCAAATGTCCCCTTGAGTTCCCTTAAACGCTTCATTGTTCATTGTCTAATATTTACCGATAAAATCAAGGTTAATGAACACTGAAGTGTTTGGGGGGACTCTAGGTGGTATATTGGCACCGAAACGCTATATTAATTATCGAGCGATTCTCCAACAATTCAGGTAAGTTATGAGCGTTTTCATGTACAAGAAAAACAATGTGATTGATCTATATTGATATCATAAATGAGTCATTTCATTTATTAGACTTTGTTTCATTTCTTAGTTAAACGCTGTTTCAAGAAAAGCAAAATTGCCATTTACTAATTAACTTATGCATTTTATTAGAAAACAGTTTTCAAAATCACATGTTATTGCAAGTTTGTTCTATGAAATATAACCATCAGTGACTCTTTTCCAATTCCACATAATTACATACTAATGCTAATCCACCCATTACAGAATACAGTACAATTTGAAAGAAGATGTTCAATCCTGAAAAATGGATAGATTTATTCAGCCATTACAGTACATATATATTGAACAGGAGGCATGTAAACAACTAATTTTGGAAGACTAAATGTCGATGTTTTTACCGATTTGATCACCTCCACTTCTTCAAATGCTACAAACAAGGGGGACACGAGATTCAATCCCTGATCGCTTATTAATCAGCGGTCCAACTCTGTTCCACAATCTCCTTCACCCGTCTACTGTATTCTCGCCTGTTGTCGCTGAATAAGCGGGCGGCTTCTGAGTTTGCAGGTGAGTTTGGGTTGGGATCACAGAGGAGGGACTGCAAATTGTAGAAAAAAAACCCACAAATGATTTTGATGGAAGATTAGCAAAACTCTGGTTTCTACCATGAGATACATAATCAAAAGATGAGACGATATACATGGGTTCATATACCTGGATAGATGTAAGAATTGCTGCAACATCATAAATGGGACTCCATTGGTTTTGTAAGATGTCAAGACAAATACTTCCATCTGCATAGACTGAACAATACGGCAAGAGAAACGATAAAATCAAGTAACTGAGACAACAAGTAAAACCATTAAATAGAAATAAGAGCAGAGAAAAGCATTGACTTATATCTCTTCTAACTTACTATTTGGGTGAAACATCCGAGAAACAAAACGGACAGTCGGTGGTTTGTTCGGATAATCCTCTGTAAATTGAAGGGTCAACTTAAAGGTACCTGAAACAAAAAACAAAAAACAATTTACTGTTACTTAAACAAGAATTGGATCATGTTTTTCAAATCTATATACGAAAATTTATAGACTTAATACCTCCATCCCAAGGGGTATCATCCGGACTGCAGTTTCCATTGAAGCAAAGCAAGAAAAAAAAGAACCTTGAATGATCAGAATCAAGACAAGAGGTAAAAAAGACAGGTTGTTATCATGATATAAAGCAAATGTTTTACCCGAAGATAACGGCGTTCCAGAGCAAGATGTTGTTATCTTGAGGAGCACCACTGATCCCAGCAGGAGGATCTTGCTGCAATCTTTTGAAATCCCTCATTAGTCTCTTTCTTGCTGGAGTTGACATCTTCTTGTATTGCCACAAGTCAGAACAACATTAGACTAACAACCAAACAACTCCAAGGATGTCTTAATGCAACATCTCACAAACAGAACACTCTCATATACAAAAGAAACCCTAGATTCTTATCTTCACAAGCGCTAGATGAAACACAGAACCGGAATTACGAACCCTAGGTAAGCAGATAACTACTTTAGCCTAAGCCAAATCGTAAGAAACCCTATATCATCCATATCACAATCACTCGAGAAACGAGAAAAACCTCTCACAAAAGTTATCACAGGAGCAGAACAACGAAACAGGATCAAGATTGGACGAACCTCAAAGATGATAAAGGAACGACCTTTCGTAAGATCAGCTGGAATCGAATACCTTGAGAACAGAAAAATCAAACCACCGGA